CAAAGAGCCACGGTATTTACACCTTTGTTTTTTGGTTTAAGTGGTGTCTTCTGTTTATATAGTTATTTTGGCACAGCAGTCATTGTATGGGCATAACTGCTGCCGCAAAGTTCACCTCTGATTCTTTGTCTTCCTACTATTGACATCCCTCCTTGTCGAGTATCTGCTAGTGTCTGTGTGCAAGGCATCACGCTTGGTGCTGAGAAGTAGAAGTGAGTTTCGGAAGACTTGCAGTCCCAGCCCTGCAGGGCTTCTCCTAAGTGGAGACGGGGTACAGGGCTCGGATACAAGCCAGACTTCGATGAGGGTCCAAGGGAAAGGGGCTAAATTCGGAGGTCAGAAGAAATCTGGGAGGGTGGTGACTTTCTGCCAGGGTCCGGCCCGGAGGGTAAGCAAGGCCTGGTAGAAGGGTGGCGGGGCTGCAGGGATCAGCTCGCAGCAGGCGCAGCGCACGCTGAGCTGGAACACCCCAGCGGGGGCCGGGGGGCGGCGCGCGCAACCTGGCCTCGCCCCGCGGCGGCGGCTCTGTGCGCTGATTGGCCCGCGCCGGCCTCGCTCACGGTTGGCGGGAGGTCTCCGAGCTGGTAGCGCTGCTACGGGAGCGACAGGCGAGCAACCGCCTGAGGCCGCGAAGCGTGCGGAGGGAGGCTTGTCCGGCGCCCCGGCTCCGCAGCCCCAGGTTGTGGCAGGTATCTTCCCGCTCGTGCCGCGGCTCCGGACCCCGCCAGCCACTCTCCAATTCCCGCTGCGCCCGGTCCCCACCCCGCTCCCGTACCCAGCCCCGCCCGCCCACCAGGTGTGAGGCTGCGGAGGCGGCCCGGCCCCCTGCCCCCACACGCTTCGGCCCGTGGGTCTCCTCAGGCGCCCTCGCCGCTACCGCAGCGCACCCCTCCCGGCTCCTCGGGCCTGGGCTCGGGCGGGGGGCGTCAAGGTCGGAGTCTGCGGCTCCGGGCCGCGCGGCCGCCCCTTCCTCGGTCGCTCTGTGGGGACCGTGGAGCGACGCCGCGCTCCCCGGTGTCGCGCTCGCGGGGAAGACAGGCCCCGGGGGACGCCGCCCGCCCGCCGTTCTCCTCTGGGGAGGAGCCCGCCTCGGTCCGCTGGGGCCCCGGTCAGCGCGTCCTTCCCCGCGGCCGCGACTGCCCTGGAGCCGAGACCCCACGTCGGCACCCTGGCCCCGAGCCCGTCTCCCACAGTGTCCGGCACGGCTGGGGGCCAGCTGGCTTCGATTTATTTTTATTTTTTTAAAAGGACCTTTGGACGGAATTGAACATCGATAAACGCAGGCTATGTTAATATCGAGGTCTCGTTTAACATCCCTCTGATCTCGGTCACCAACGCAGTTTTAACGTTTCGGTTATATCCGTTGAGGTGAAATGTGGCGGTCCGTCATATCCTGACTGCCCTTTGCTTGGAAGACACCCTTCCCTGTAAAACAAACGCAATAATACTGCCACAGAGTGAGTTTTGGCTAAGGACTCAGCCCGAGGCTAGGCAGATCCGTATACTTCCTGTGCTCCTGGACCGTCCTATGCACGTATTATTAACATCGTCTAATAATACGTAATTTTTATTGACTACTTCTACGAACCCGGATCTAAGGAAACCTAGGTGTTTCCAGTATCTTAATATCCCGCATGAGGAAAGGAGTATTCCCAGAAGTGAGGTAGCCTAAGGTCACAGCGAAACAGAATCAGGTCTTAATACAGGTCTTTTCTCCCGTATTTTAAACTATTCTCTCAACCTTTCTGCCTTGAGGCATGCTTAAGAACCCTGTCTTTAAAAGAAAAAAAGAAAATTCTCCATTTGACCACTGTCCTTTCTAGCAGCTGTTGGTTTGGTTTTCTTCCTTCTAATCCCTGCCGCATGTAGAAAAGGGGAGGGAGGTCCGTTCACACCTCCCGCACCTACTTTTCTAAACACATCACTCCTAGAATTCTTTTTTTTCTTAAATGATTTATTGTCAAGTTGGATTCCATATAACACTCAGTGCTCATCCCCACAAGTGCCCTCCTCCATACCCATCCCCCCTACCCCCCTCCCCACATCCATCAGTCCTCAGTTTTTGTCAGCATTCAAGAGTCTCTCATGGTTTGCCTCCCTCCCTATCCCCCACTATTTTTCCCCTTCTTCTCCCCGTGGTCCTCCGTCAAGTTCCTCCTAATCCTCCTATATGTGCAAACATATGATATTTGTCCTTCTCTGCCTGACTTATTTCACTCAGCATAACACCCTCAAGGTCCATCCATGTTGCTACACATGGCCAGATTTCATTCTTTCTCATTGCCATGTAGTATTCCATGGTATAGATAAACCACATCTTCTTGATTCATTTGTCCATTGATGGACACTCAGGCTCTTTCCATGTTTTAGCTATTGTTGAGAGTGCTGCTATGAACATTGGGGAACATGTGCCCTCTATGCATCAGCACTCCTGTATCACTCCCATAATTCTATTCAGTCTGGCTTCCATTGATTCCTACCACTTCGTCAGAGTGTGGGTTTATTCACTTAATTGGTTGGATTGCTAATCAGATTCAAACTTCTTATGGAAACAGCTGTGCTGTATAATTTTATACATTAAAATTATATATAATTACATATATAATAAAATATATATATAGCACCTAGCACTTGGGTGAAACAAAGTATTCAATCGCCATTAGATGTTAAATTAGAAATATATATATATATTTAAAAATCAAAATTATAGAGATTTGATAATATCCAGAAGTTTTGCCAGAATATTTTTCCTAAATTTGCTTTAATTTTTAATAGTTTAAATTTTGTGACTATGATAGAAAAATGCTGTAGTCATTTCAATAAGGGTTCTTTTTTTTTTTAAGAGTTATTTTATTTTAACAAAACGGTGATAAGCCCATCTTTCTTTCCTGAAGCAATGCCTTATTTAACCACTAAGACACAATATATTTTGCACATTTACAATGCAAATACTAGACTTAAATTTTCATAAAGTTTAAGCTTATAAGCTGGGTTTGTTTTTAGGTTAAGGCGACAGTAAGTAAGATTGGACTGCTTACCATGTGTCAAGTAAACACTTCATTTAATTTTTTAAAACAGTTCTTTAGTGGTTAAAGGGTAGGGAACTTTGGTGTCAGACCTTCCTAAATTCGAATCCTAGCTTTATCACTCACTAATTATGTGACCATGGGCAAATTTCTTCTTCCCTAAGCCTCAAATTTCTCATCTAGAAAATAAGCATAAAATAATACCCGTTTTATAGAAATGTTATGAAGATTAAATGAGATAATGCATGTGAAACTTTTAGCCCAACGTCTGGCACATATTAAGTGTTCAGTGTAAGTCTGCGAATATGAGGAAGTTAAGGTTTGCCTGCCTGCCCTGAATTGCCATTGGATGTTGCTATTAGATTTTTCAAATAGGCAGACGAGGCTCCCAGTACTGCTTCTGTTGTACGATTCTGTGACCCACATCCTAAAACTTTATATTACCCCCAGAGAAAACAAATTATTTTAGATGCCTATAGATTAGCTGTGGTTTATTTACCAAAGGGGGGGGGGGAGGGAACCCAGACATCCTATTCAGTTGTGAATTCTAGTATGATTTTTTTCAGTTTGGTGGAGTCCACATAAAAACTCATTAAAGGGTTTTGCCATATGAGTGTAGTTTCTTCTAGTACCCCCCCTTCCTCCCTGTCTCTTACCCTTTCTCGTATTTTTAGTTGCCTTGCATTCTTTTCCTCTTGCTTGCCATGAGAACTCTATTTTCAGTATATCCAAATAAAGAGCAAAATTCAAAACCACCTCAAGGTGGAATATGACTAAGAATGTAGCATTGATAGCTTCCCTCCTTAAGCTCCCCCGGAACTCTTCTGCCAGCGTTTGCTAATTAACTTCAATGAATCTCTGTTTGGGGAATTTCACACAGTTCTTTCTATATCCTCAAATTTCATATGAAGTGTCCCAACACAGATGTAGAATTTAGTGGAATAGTGTAAAGCTATACTATAAACATATTTATCTATTTGATTGACAAAATTTGCCTTCTGTTTCGTGATATACCCATGGTTGTCTTAGTATAACAACACTTGAAAGCTACCTAATAACTTACCTTCTTACCTTCTTACCTTCTGGGAGATATGTCATAGTTATTCTATATTCTGGTACATTCCACCTCCCCTCAAGGCTAGCTCCCATGCAGCAGTTTGAGAAGCCTGACTTTAATTTTTTCCATCTAGATTGTAAGGCTGCTCTTACTTCGGGGGAAAAAAAAAAAAAAGATGCAGATGAGACCTTCAGCGGTCTCCCAGATGAGGTGGGTAGGAAAGAGCAGAAACTTCTTAAGTCTCAGGGTTCAGTTTGTCCCCCATTCCTTTTTCTGTGGAGTTTCTAACACCCACCCTCAACTCCATAATTGCCTTAAATTTGGTTGGACCTTAGATATAAGAAGAAAGAGGAGGGGATGGGAGGGAAGTGAAACAGAGGGAGGAGAGCAATTATAGAATCAACTGAATATAATTTCTTCATAATCTAACCTCTTCTGTCTAGTATGTGGGCTGTTGGGAACTTGAAATGTGGATGGTGCAAGTAAAGAATTTTTACTTTAATTTAAAATTGAGTACTGAAGGAGTGTAAAATATTTTTCCTTTACACACTACTTTCTTGTTTTGGTAGGACTGCTTTTCACTCTGACTTTTGGAAATTTAGCATCTGAATTGAGACATACTATAAGTGTAATACCAGATTTCAAAGACTTAGAATGAAAAATAAAGTATGTAAAAATATCTCATTAATTTTTATATTGATTACACATTAAAATGATACTTGGTTATACCAGATTACATAACATATATTACAAAAATTCACTTGCTTATTAGTACTTCTTTAGTGTGGTTTTAAAAATATAAAACTACAAATGTGGCTCACATTATGTTGGACATTGCTGATCTAGCCCTACTATATCCAATCTTATTTTCCATTCCTTCCTTCAGCAGGGAAGTTTCTGAGGGTCAGGAAGGAGAATCTGTACCTAACTCCTTGAACATCAAGGGAGGCATGGCTGCCTGGGTCACTGTGAGTTATGGATTCAGAGGTTCTCATTAGGATCTCAGAGTAGTTTCCTGCTTTGCCTTTGCATATGTCCATTTCCTGCCACCCTATACAAACTTTGACCCCAAAAGTAATACTAACTGTAGTAATAATTATGTCAACTAATTACTACCATACGTGGTAGTGATTATGCATATTGTTAAATATTGATGAATTAACTTTGTTTCTAATTTTATTATAACACTGTACATACATATACACTTAAAATCGATCACTCAAATATTATGGTCATACACTCACAACTTTAAAAATTAGAATGATCAATTTATGAGCATCCCTCACATATATCCTACATTTCTTTGCTGGAATTGTTTTTAGCTTTTCAATAAATACCAGTAAATGCTTGTTGAATAAGTGATTCTTGTAACATATCAAAGAATTACCAGTAAGAAAATATTTTGTGTGTGTGTGGGTGGATTACTTTCAACGTAAGACTTGATATGATAATAATTTATTTCTGGAAATAGCTTGCCTTGTTCTATAAAAAATTTGAAGTATCATATAACAACTATATGATAAAAGTATGTTGGTAGAAGCAGAATTTAAAACTTTATGAAAAAAGAATACCACAAATAGATTATAAACACAGCATAGTTTCTCTAATTAACTTTCAAAATTTTGGGGGGAGTTCCCTAGTAGTCAAAGCAAAATGGGATACAGGATCTTACTGAGAAGAGAAGGTATATCAGTTACCCAAATGAAGCATAGCATTTTTTAGCAATGAATGATAAAAACAAATAACATTTTAGTAGCAAGTTCAGTAACATTTTATATGACTGCATCTGGTAATGTCATCTGATTAGTTGTTTTTATATAGAAATGAACAAGAGTGTGGTAAATTGTTATATGTTTTATTTTTACAGGGATCTTGGAAAACCAAAATGAGACATAATCAGCTGTGTTGTGAGACACCGCCTACTGTCACTGTTCATGTAAAATCAGGGTCAAATAGATCACATCAGCCTAAAAAACCCATTAATCTGAAGCGTCCTATTTTTAAAGATACTTGGCCTTCATCTGAAAAAAATGCACATAATAGCAACAAGTCTAAACGCCCCAAAGGACCCTGTCTAGTTATACAGCGTCAGGAAATGACTGCTTTCTTTAAATTATTTGGTAGGTTTAAAATATTATAAGAGCAGTAATTGTAAAGTACTTAAAAATGAGAGAATCTAAAGATCTACTTTAATATTTTTATAATAATCAAAGAGGATGTTGTTATTTTATATGTCAGGCTTTCTGCCTCTAGCCAATTTGTTTTTCTTTTACTTAGGGTTTGTCTTTTTCTTTTTTTTTTAATGTTGGATTTTTGTTGTTTTGGATTGCTTTTGGATTCGAACTTTAGCTTCATCTTGCTTCTAGACTACTTAAATCCAAATGTCAAATGTGAATTCTGAACAATTCAGGTTCATAGCATGACTTTTGTGTGACCTAAATAAAATACTGCATAAAGTCTCAGGTGAGCCAGGCAGCCCAATTTGACTGGGCCTGAAGTGTTTCCCAGGATTTTCAATGCTAAAACTGAGCAAACTGGGAAGGGTGGTCAGCCTTGAGAAGTTTCAGTATTATATGAAAGGAATTTCTTTTTTGAAAGAGGGAGAAAGAAAGAGCACATGTGCTGATCCTGAGAAACAGAAAATACCTGGCTCTACCATAAGTAATTTAAGAAATAGTTGGATGCCTGGATGGCTCAGTCAGTAGAGCATGCGACTTTTGATCTTGGGATTGTGTGTTAGAACCCCATGTTAGGTGTAGAGTTTACTTTTTAAAAAATAGAGTTAACAAGGCATAAATTAACTCTAAGAAAATGTATATTTATTCTTGTAATTTTTCATGTATTTGACCATACTAATGATATTTCTAGAATGTAAAAATTAGTATAAAGTATATTTTGTCTTGTTATTTAACTTAAAATGAAGGGGGACAGGAAAAAGCAGATTTTTTTCAGATTGTATTCAACAATTACTTATATACTTGAGGGATTATATGTTTTGGCCTTTTAAAATTGAAGTAAGTGCTTTTGACCTACTTTTTGCATATTTTAAAAAGTAGTTTTGTTAATCTTTTGTCATAATACTCAGTTTTTCTAAAATTAAATGTTAATTGTAAATAGCTAATTATGAATCTTTATACAGATATTTTAATTGGTGTTTGGATAAGAGATAATTGGACAGAGATAAATAAGGGAAAAGAAGACTTCAAAATTAAAATACCCTGAGACCTAACAGGAGGATATAGTAGAAAGAGTAAACACATTCTGAAAATGAGTAATATTCATTTAGTCATTATTCCTTAAGAACTGAGTTATCTTTTATCAGATTTCATCAGTAAAGATTGATTTTAGAAAGTAATAAAGAGCTAATCTACAGTTACCCAAGACATCTTTCTCAAAGAGCTATTGGGATAGTCAGGAAACCAGATTCTTCTTCCATATCCTCTCCGGTCTGAGCAAATCAGATGGGAAACCCGAGTAAAAGAAGTAACTTTTTGTACAGTGCTTGCAATGGTAAATGCACCAAAGAAGTGAAAATTACATTTTAGACAACACATGTCCAGGCATATTTGTTTGACTTCTAAGCATCATTTATAATCCCTTATCTAGAAATTAATTCTTCAAAAGAAAACATTGTTTTCAAAAGACAAGTCATAGCTATCTTTTGTTCTAGATGATGATTTAATTCAAGATTTCTTGTGGATGGACTGCTGCTGTAAAATTGCAGACAAGGTAAATTTGGTAATGATGTAATTGTTACTAGACCATTAGAACTTGAACAAAACCTTATAATAATTTTCTACCCTATTAATTAATGTTAGGAAAAGAACTAGTCTGCATTGCTCCTTCTAAGGGGAATCCTTACACATTAATTTTTGAAATTGGCATACATCATAGATTCATTTTACACTTGAGGAATTGTAGAATATTATTGATTTGATTTAAATGACCTTAAGTCTATATCTGTTTGACTGAAAACAAGAATCAGTATAGACTTAATATGTTTTGATCAGAATTACCACCTTTTATCAGGCTATGGAGTAAGAATACTCTGAATATTCTGAGATTTGTTTCACTAAGGCGATACAGTTAATATTTTGTAGGTAACTTAGATAAAGCATATCCCAATAATTTTGTAGATAAAATTAGGTTATTGTGTTTTTTATTTAGGAATCTGTGTTTCTAAAAAATCATCATGATGCAAACTTACATACTAGGGATCTTATTTCTATACTCTTTAGATTTAGCTGAACAGTTATGATTTCAGCTTTATAAATGTTACCTTAGACCAGGTAGTCATCTAGAAAATTCAGCATCACTTCATCTCACACTTAAGTTTAATGTCCCATTTATTGTGGGAAAGGGTTGAATGGAAGCCTAGCTTATGTGAACTTTTTTATTTCAAGCTTAATAAGATAGCACAGATAAAATTGGGGTTTGGTTTTTTTAATCTCTAATTTTGGAAATTTAATTTTGGAAAATTCCAAACATGTATACCTTGAGGTAGAGAAAATAGAGTAAAGAATCTCTATGTGCCTATCATGGAGCTACAGTAATCATCAGTCCGTGGCTCTGCTTGTTTCTTTTAATCCTTCTTCTCAAAACTGGATTATTTTATCCATGAATATTTCAAAATGTATTTCTAAAAGATGAGATATTTTTAAACATAATAACGATTTTGCTAACACTTTTAAAAATTAACATTAATGCCTTCTTATAAAATATCTGTGTAGATATGTACATGTGGAGTTGTAAAGTTTTCAACTTTACAGTTTTAAGTGCATTACAGAAATTACAGTTGCTGGACAGCAGGGGGCAGTGCTTTTAAAGTAACTAACCAGCATACTGTATTCAACTGAAAGTTATCTTGAAAACTTGGATCACCTTTGTAGTCAATCCTGTGAAAGTAGGAGAAATAGGCATTTTATGAGAGAGAATCTAGTATATCAGTTTTATAATTGTTTATAATTTTAACATATAGAACCTGGCACAGTGTCCTAATACCAGGATAAATATGTCTTTCTAGTAACACATTTAAAACCCTTTTTTCCAATGAAAATAGAACCATGTTATTCTAATTTCTGATTTGAAGTTATTTTTAAAAGTGAATATGTGAAATTGCTAAGAGAGTAGACCCTAGGTGTTCTTAACAAAAAGGAAAAAAAAAGATAATTATGTGAGGTGATGGATATGTTGATTAACTTGTTTTTGCTATTCACTTCACAATGTATATAACAAATCATCACACTGCAAACTTTAAATATATATTTATATATATATATTTATTTATTTATTTATTTATTTACTTAAAATATAAATTTACTTAAATATTTACTTATTTATAATTATATGATAATTATTTAAAACTTTGTCGATTATATCTCAATTTAAAAATCCCCCCCACAATGAGTGAATCAATGAATCAATGAATGAAAAATGAGTATAGATGTCTGCAATTAACTCAAAGGAGTCAGCAAAAAAGTTCTCTATAGATATATATACAAAGCCAATGTGGCAACATACTAACAATTGATGAATCTAGGTGAATGATGTATGGTTACTTGTTTTTTTATTATTTCAACTTCTCTATGGATTTGAAATTTAAGATAGAAAAAATTGGGGTTTGGGTTCAAACAATATTGGCAATAATAAAATTTAGGAGTTCTTCCTAATCTTACCCATGATAAATGACTCAAAACTATTTTTCACCATTCACATGGATTACAGGAAACCAGAAAATGACCCAAATTCTGTAATAAAGATAAATAATGCTTTATTGTTTTTAGCTTATTATTCATCTTAAAGATAACTATTTTAAAGCAGTTTTAAGCAAAACTCTAATATTAACCTTTACTTTTTTCCCTATAGTATCTTTTGGCTATGACCTTTGTTTATTTCAAGAGAGCTAAATTTACTATAAGTGAGCATACCAGGATAAATTTCTTTATTGCTCTGTAAGTATGCTTTCCACTAAGTGATTTTTGTGGTCCTTATTTATAATTATATGATAATTATTTAAAACAGGCTGTTTGGGGGCACCTGGCTAGCTCACTAGGTAGAGCATGAGACTCTTGATCTCTGGTTGTAAGTTCAGGCCCCACATTGGGTATAGAACTTACTTAAAGAAATAAGTAAATAAAGTTAACATTGCAACCCATAAAAAAATAAAACAGAGGCTTCTAAAAACCTGATGTATATTTTTGAAAAGACCTTTACATATAGAAGTTATATATTTTTTTACTTTAATAGGATATTTTTATGTTCTTTTCACTGATCTTATGCCTAAGATTTATTATTCAGTATCCCACTTGGGTTTGTATTATATCTTTTACATTTTTCAGAATGTTCCATATAAATTATCCCAAATTCTCCTCTTTTGGACTTAAATATGTTTTAAAAGCCAGAATATTCTGTTTGAAATTTCCAGTAAATTTATAGCAAAAATCATCATCATTGGGGCACCTGGGTGGCTCAGTCAGTTAAGTATCTGACTTTTGTTTTCAGTTCAGATCATGATCTTGTGGATGATTTTATGGTCTGTGTGATCGAGCCTCCTGTTGGGCTCCACCACACAGTGTGGAGCCTGGTTGGGTTTCTCTCTCCCTCTCTCTCTGCCCTTACCCCACTCATGCACACTCACACACTCTCTCTCAAAATAAACTTTAAAAAAAGTCATCATGGTTTTCCTTTCACATGAAACGCTTGTGGAAAATGCTATAGACATGCTAATTGTAGATTTTTGTCTATAACATAGAAGTTATTCATATCTGAGGTACCTGGATGGCTCTGTGTTGACAGCTTGGAGCCTGGAGCCTGTTTTGGATTCTCTGTCTCCCTCTTTCTCTGCCCAACCCCTGCTCATGCTCTGTCTCTCAAAAATAAGTAAACATCAAAAACTGTTTAAAAAAATAAGTTATTCATATCTGATACCTTTAGTAACCACTGCTCTTTTACTTAACACACTGAACTTTGACCAAGAAATATAGTCTGTTTTCCAATTCTTCTATTGACTTTATATTAGATCATTCATACTAGCTTTGTGATCTGTTAAATGGTTTTAATAATGTGGCTTTCCAACCTATAGGTCAGAATTATACTAGAAGCAATGTTTAAGAAAATGTATCTCAATCTCAAAACTTCTTCTACTCATGTCCTGGATATAATACTGCAGTTGGGAATGTATGAATATAATTTAAATACTTAACTAGGGAACTATGTATAAAAATACTTAAGTAGAATACCACAAGAACTGTTAGCACTGATGAGTGAGTTTTTACTCAAAGTCTGTTTAATTCAGACTCAGGGTGTGGTTCAAGAAATAAGACTAGAAGACTGGTCTCTACTTGTATTCAGAAGACACATTTCCCCATGGACAAGGAAAAATGAACCTTATAAAATTTAGTGATGATTGATAAATTGTGGGAATATAATAGTACTAGCTAATACTGAATGTTATGTGCAGGACACCACAAAAATGTTTTTTTTTTTATAAGCTCCTTGAATCTTCACTGTGAGATATATTATTAAATTTCCTTCATTCCACAGATGGGGAAATTGAGATTTAGGAAGATAAGTACTTCCCAGTCTCACAAAAGTTAGTAAGTGGCAGAACTGGGGTGCACATTGAGGTGTGACTTTGCCCATGGCCAAATTTAGTGATTAACCACTGAGCTACATTGCTGTTAACATGTCTCCCTAGTATTATATTATACCTCTATGTCAATACAATATCTATTTTGTAGTTTTTCTACCTGCAAATTAAAAACCAAAAGAAGCTTTAGTTTTAATCCTTACAGATGCCTGAAATTGGATTTGTTTGATGTTTTAGTAATGTTATTACCAGTAAAGCAGTGTGAGCTTACAATATATTGTAGTCTTTGAGTTTGCATTGCATGTGGTATGATAAATTCCATGTTAAAAATAACATGGATTATAATTTCCATTTTATATCTAATCATACTTTTTATATAGCCTGACTCAATAATTCTCAATAACTATTTTTTCAGTTAGCCACAGTTCTTGTTTTTTTTTTTTTTTTAAGTTTATTTATTTATTTTGAGAGGGAGAGGGAGAATCCCAAGCAGGCTCTGCACTGACAGCATGAAGTGCAATGCAGGGCTTGACTCAGGGCTCCATCTCAAGGTTCCTGAGATCGTGACCTGAGCTGAAATCAAGAGTCAGATACTTAACTGATGCCCCAAGTAGCCACAGTTCTAATTCAAGTTCTTTTCCCTCCTATATATTCTTACAACACTCAGTATTTTTATTGTCATTATTCCATATTCTCTTGTACAGTTATTTGTTTCATACTTAGTTGCCTCTTCTACTTGACTATAGGCTGCTTAAAGGCAAGGAACATGTATCTAACCCCCCCCTTTTTTATTTTTGCATCCTTTAACGTATGGTTGTTTTTAATTCTTTATTTGGATAAACATAATTAACTATTATACAAAAGAAATGATCTCTGCTCCAAGAAAATCTATTTCAAATTAGAAGACAACTTATATGCATATAGTACAGATATTTTTATCACATTGAGCCTGAAAAATTATTAATCTAGGGTGCAATCACAGTGTAGTCCTGCTAGCATAGTACCACAATACATTATATATTTTCTCTTTTATTTGGTCAACAAGCATGAAAGGGACCAACCTCTGGCTTCTGTCTACCCTTTACTAAGAACTATCAAGGATACTAAAGTAATTATGTAATTTCACAGAGGACATGATTTGATTCATATAATTGAATGGGTTTCACAATGAGGTGCTTTATATTAAGGTAATGTTAAAATATATATAGTTATTTTAAGGGAAGATAAAGTAATAGGTAAGTGCTATTTTTCTATTAATGTAACTAAATTGAATATGCATATAGTTTTTAACAGGACATAAGTGGGTATACAATTAAAAATAAGTCTTCGTATCTTAGGACCTTGGCATTCTTCCTCAAGAACAATGAACATTTCATGTGTATCTGTTTAGAAATAATTTTCTATAGATAAACCAGTGTATGTATTATATGAATAGAAGTATATTATAACACTTCTGTGCCTTTTAAAAATTTCTAATGTGAAATATCCACAAAAGGAGTATATGGAATGTATATATGTTTATGTTAAAGAAAAAGCAAAACAAATACTCATGTACCCATGACTCAACTCAAGGATAGAACATTAATTTCAGTATCTTCAGACTTCAGGGTCTGTTTCTGTTTATAGTACCTTGTTCCCTTACATGTTTTACACTTTTTTTTTTTTTTTTTTTTTAATTAGAAGCTGCCTGTTTTTCTTGGAAAATCATCTAAGGAGCTTTCATTGTTTCCAGTGGGAAATCTCTATCCTTATCTCTGTTTCTTTGTTATCTAACATGTCTCATTTTTTGTCTGGACTGCCTTTAAGAATTTCTCTTTATCACCTGTTCTGAATAATTTGATTATGTTGTACATTAGTGTAATTTTCTTCATATTTTGTGCTTTGGAGTTCATCCAGCTTCTTTGTATGTTTATAGTTTTCATCAAATTTCAAAAAATTTCAGCCATTATTTCTTCAAATATTTTTTCTCTCCACCCAACTTTTGTTAGGGGACTCCAGTTTCACCTTTATTAAATTACTTGAAGTTGTCTCATAGCTCATTGATGCTCTATTATTTTTGTTTCTTTTTTTCTATATGTTTCAGTTTGGGTAGTTTATATTGCTGTCTTTGGTGCACAAATCTTTTCTTCTGCAATATTTAATCTATTAATCCCACTCCATGTATTTTTCATTTTAAAGGTAGTTTTCATCTCTAGAAGAACACTTTGTGTCTCCTGTTCTTTTTGAACATCTGGAGTAAATATAACAATTTTAATGTCTTTGTTTAATGTCTGTTACTTCTAATGTGTCAGTTTTGACTGATGATTCTTTTTATTATGGGTCATGTGTACCTGCTTCTGTGCATGCCTGATCGCCCTCAAGTATTTAGGAGGATACTGATTTCCATATGTATATAAGGAAATTACCTGGTTGTGGGGGAAAGATTAGAGGGAACAGTGCCTAACATTGACCCAGAGCTGGAAATATTGCCTGTTGCTATCAGCCAGACTGAAAAAACTCAGAATTCACAGAATATTGAGTAGATTACTCAAGAATGTCTTGCTTCAGTAGTGGGGAATAATTAGTCCCAGACTGAACATTGCTCCAGATCCACCTAAAAAATCCTTAAAGCAAGGCCTGAAAAGATCAGACTCTTTCTAAGTAACTTAACTGCATCCCGGAACAAAGTTCAAAATTTATAGGAATACAAAAATATCCAGAACTCGGGTCACCTGGGTGGTTCAGTTGGTTAAGCTATGATTCTTGATTTCAGCTCAGGTCATGATCCCATGGCTGTGAGATCAAGCCCCATGTTGGGCTCCATGCTGTTTGTGGAACCTGCTTGGGATTCTCTCTCTCTCTCTCTCTCTCTCTCTCTCTCTCCCCCTCTCTCCCCCCCCTCCCCCCTTCCATCTCTCAAAATAAATAAATAAACATTAAAAAACAAACAAAATATTTAGAGCTCAACGAGGTAAAATTCATTGTGTTTCTATTTTTGATCTACATTTCTTTAATTATGAGTAAACTTGAACATCTTTATGTGTTTATACGTAATTTATATATATTTTTTGTGAACTGCCTGTTCCTTTCCTTTTCCCATTTCTTTTTTGAGTTGTTGGTCTTTTTTGTTAGGTATCTGGCTAATACAGTTGAAGAAGATGAAGAGGAATCTAAATATGAAATTTTTCCATGGGCTTTAGGGAAAAACTGGAGAAAATTGTTCCCTAACTTCTTAAAGTTAAGGGACCAACTCTGGGATAGAATTGACTATAGGGCTATTGTAAGCAGGCGATGCTGTGAGGAGGTAAGATTTTTAAAAACTTTAGATATATAATCCAATTTCTCTTTAGTAATTTCCCTTGTCTTGTTTTTAAATGTGCTTCTAATATTTCACTTTTTGTATATGTAAGGGTAGGCTAACTTGATGGTTAACTTGATGGTTACCATGAATACATCTTGGATATTACAATGTTGATGTTTTAATTTTTTACCACAATAATTAAAAATTGTCATTTCTGTTTTTCAGAGCAGCCTAATTCTGTAGTAAGTATTTTTGTTTTAGTGGGTTTCTCTAGTCTAAAAGATCACCAATATATTGGGAAAGGACAGTGTGCAGATTACAAAATATGTTAATAACATTTGGAGGTGAATAATAATTTCCATCAAATAAAGTATGTGAAATTTCAAGTTCCCAAGATTGAAATGCACACTACATGGTATTAAATTTAAATATATTAAAATCATACCTCTTTTCACATAGAATAATACGTAAAGTAAGTTTCTTGATGCCAGAATCTATTAAGTCAAACAGAAAAACACTAAAAATTAGGAAATGGGTTATTTTACCTAACGGTCTAGGTTTTCAATAAAAAAGTTAATGTTTCAAACTAAAGAAATATTCTGAAGTAGAAAACTAAATGGAAGGCAGTGATCATTGTAGGACAGAACTAGTAAAGTTTGGTAAATGTGAATTAGTTAATGCTGTAATGAAATGAAGTCATATACAGTTAAATGATGATAGGCAAAAGAACCAATTAATGGATTAGTCTCAAACTTCAGGGAAGACTTTGGAGGTGTGTCAGAACTCTGCCCAGAATTAACCTTGTTAATTATATGTATTAATGAGATGAAAGTATTAGCAAGTATGGATAATTGTATATTAAATTAAGAGGATTGTTGAATGTGGAGGGAAATTAAAGGATTCAGAAATAACTCAGAAGATTGAATAGCAGGGGCGCCTGGGTGGCTTAGTCGGTTAAGCATCCAACTTTCGCTTAGGTCATGATCTCGCGGTTCGTGGGTTCGAGCCCCGCGTCAGGCTCTGTGCTGACTGCCAGCTCAGAGCCTGGAGCCTGTTTCAGAGTCTGTGACTCCCTCTCTCTCTGACCCTCCCCTGCTCATGCTCTCTCTCTCTCTCTCCTAGAAATAAATAAAAACATTAAAAAAAAAAAGATTGAATAGCAAGGCCAAGTTTTTTCAAGGTTAAATTCAATAGGGGTGCCTGGGTGGCTCAGTCGGTTAAGCATCCATCTTTGGCTCAGGTCATGATCTCATGGTTCGTGACCTCGAGCCCCACTCTGGGCTCCATACTCTCTCTCCCTGTCTCTGCACCACATGGGATTCTCTCTCTCTCTCTCCTTCTTTCTCTCTGCCCCTTGCTCACTTGCTCGCTGTCTTTTAAAAAAAAAATGAAATTCAATAGAAAAATATGGAAAATTGTGTGTCTCCCCTCCCCCAAATTAATAGATCCTCATTGAAGGATTTAAACTAATTCCAATTAGAGGGCATTGAAAGAGTCCTGTATTGCTATTTTTTTTTTTTTTATCACTATGTCCCCAGGTCAGGAGTGGATAATTTGTGCCCCTGTCCCATCCTTGGACATGATAGTAGGTCTTACTTGAACACTCTGATTTTTTAAAAGTGAACACTTTGAAAAGCCCCATGGTACACTCAACTAAGATCATGGAATGGGCATCAAAGACAAGAAGCTGGGATAGGCAATGCTCACCTCATGGCATATTGCCCACCCACTCCTAAGATAGAAGAACTAACATTATAACTGCAACAACTTAATTTACACAACTGGAGCTGAAAGTACTTCAGTTGCTGGCATCACACTATTAAAGAGCCAGAGTATGATGTGCCTTAATGGTGTAAAGGACTAAAAAGTTTTAGATAATTATAAACTCAGTTGCATAATGGGGTTTACAGAAAAGTTTAGTCTATCAAGGCTTTGACGCTGACAATAGATCTCTCCCTTAATTATAGATGTGGATATTAAATGTCCTATTCATATTTCATTATCTAGTAAATACCTCAAACTTAATATGCTGAAAATCCGGTTTCTGATTTCCCTACACAGACCTCCAAACCTGCTCCTTCTATAGTCTTCCACATCTTAATAAATGGTAACTTCATCATTCTAGTTGTTTGTTCAGACCAAAAAAACAAAACAAAACTGTTGCCCTACACTTTTCTTACATCCATACCTTAAAAAAACCCAGCATTCTACCATTTCTCATGACCTCTACCACTAAACCCTACTTTGTCTCTTCTTGCCTCAGTTATTGCCATAACTTCCAAGTCTCTTTTATAATATTTCTCTCCAGAGTATATTATATATTTACCAGCCAGAGTAAATCTTTTAGAAAGTAAGTCAAATTATGACTCCTCTACTCAAAAGCTTCCAGAGGCTTCCCATCTCACATAGAGTAAAAGGCAAAACCCTTATCATGGCTCTACCTGATCTGCCAACTCTCTTCTCATCTCTTCATCTCTCTTCCCTCCAACTACACTGGCCTCCTTGCTTGTCTTCAAACACACCAAGAACGTTCCCATCTCAGGACTGTTTGCCTGGAATGTTTTCCCCCCTGATATCAGTGTGCTTCACTTCCTCACTTCATTTAGGATTCTACTTAAATAGCACCTCAGAGAAAGCTTTCATTACCACCTTGTATCAAGTAGTATCACTGATGGAATAAAATTAAAGAGTCCAGAAATAAACCTTCATATTTATGTTCAATTGAATTTTGACAAAAGTACCAAGAAAGTTCACTGGGGAAAGAGTAGTCTTTTCAACAAATGGTGCTGGGACAACTGGATATCCACATGCAAATGAATGCATTTAACCCCGATTTTCATATCATATATAAAAACTAATTCAAAATGATTCAAAGACTGAAATGTAAGTGCTAAAAACTGTGAAGCTCTTGAAAGGAAACATAGATGTAAATCTTCATCACCTCGGATTAGGATTCTCAGAGATTATACCAAAAGCACAAGCAACAAAAGAAAATAGAGATCATCATTGACAATGAAAACTTTTGTCCTTCAAAATATACCATGAAGAAAATGAGAAGCCCACAAAGGAGATGAAAATTTTGGCCAATTTTCTGTCCAATAAGGGACTTGTATCTAGAAATATATAAAGAGTTCTTACAACTCAACAATAAGAAGACAACTTTTAAAAGGGCATGGATCTGAAAAGTCTTTTCCAAAGAAGATATACAAATGGGCAAAAAACACATGGAGAGATGCTTGACATCATTAGCCATCAAAGAACTGCAAATCAAAACCACAAGTAGATATCACTTCACACCCACGAGGATAGCTATCATGAAAAAGACAAATATAACAAGTATTGGTAAGGATGTGGAGAAAATGGAACCCTCATACACTTTAGCTGGGAATGCAAAATAGTGTATTTGTTTTGGAAAACTGTGTCAGTTCCTCAAAGGACTAAATAGGGTTACCATACAACCCAGCAGTTCCAGTCCTAGTTATATACACAAAAGAAAGGAAAGGTATGTCCACACAATAACTTGAGTATTCAGAGCAGCATTATTTGTAATAGTCAAAAAATGAAAACCCAAATGTCCATCAATGAATGAATGGATAAACCATATAGTACATCTATACAGTGATATATTACTTGGCAATTAAGAGGAATGAAATACTGATACAGGCCGCAACATGGATGAACTCTGAAAACATTATGCTAAGTGAAAGAAGCCAGTCACAAAGGATCACATATTGTATGATTCCATTAAATGAACTGTCTGAAATAGACAAATCCAAAGAGGCAGAAAGCAGATTAGCTGTTGCCAGAGGTTAAGGAGAAGGAGAAATGGGGTGTGATTACTTTTTTTATGGAGTGCTGAAAATGTTCTAAAATTGACTGTGGTACTGGTTGTGCAACTCAATATACTAAAAACCATTGTACACTATAAGTGGGTGAATTGTGTGGTAGTTTGAGTTATAGCTCAATAAAGCTGCTGAAATAACGAGTAGTACTTCCCACTGTCCCTCTGTATTTCTTTTTCTAGTTTTCTCCATAGCACTTAACCATCATATAACATACTCTGTTTTAATTATCTTGCAAATCTCTATTTCCCCCTACTAAAATATAAATTCCAAGAAGGCATGGTCTTTATTTTCTTATTGTACCTCCAGTGCCTAGAATAGTGCATGGCACATAGTAGGTACTCAATAAATAGTGCTGGCTGACAGAGTGAATGGGATTTAAAGCTTCTGATTCTTTTTCATACATTCTTATCCATGTGGTAGAAAAACAATAAACTATAAAAATTCATGTGCTGACTTAGCACTGCCTCTTACAATAAGGGCACATGGATAATCTTTTTTATGGTGGTTCCAACCAGGTACATTTGAATCATTGTGGTATATAGAAATTACCTAGACTTTATCCTGTTCTCTTAACTATTCATTCAATAGGTACCTTATGAGTAAGACACTTAACTTTAGTGTTATGGGAGTTTATTATAAAAAAGTGTAATATAATCTTTGCCCTGAAGTTTGATGCATTAAAGTGGCAAGACATGCTGTTAGAAATTTAGCTAAGTATTCTATACATTTGTTATTGAGAGCCTGGTATTGACATACTGCCAACTCATTTCTTGAGTCTCACCTGAAAGTAAACCCAAGTTATGATAGTACTTATAAACTGGCTTAAAATAATAATACTTTACATTTTCATTGTGCTTTATACATTCATAAATATTTTCATATATAAGGATTATCGTCTTATCCTCAAAAAAATACCTGTGAGGGTTGCAGCATTCTCATTTTACATCTGATGGAATTGAGGACCAAGGAGTTTGAGGTTTACTCAAGATCATACATTAATTAAATGGTAAACCCAGAACATGATTTCACATCTAATGACTTCCTGGTGCTCTGTTTTCTCTGACATCTAGCTTCCTCTGCTCATACTGGTTAATTTGAAAAGCACACATGTATCTATTATGTTATTTTATCTCAGGAATTAAATGGTGTAAGTATTCT